TTAATAAAGGCAGCCTAGACAAGTACTGGTCCGCTGCCTTATGACAATTTTTTTTTTTCCAAAATGCTATACAACATACAAGTGTTTTAGCAAAAAAAAAACATATGAATTTTTTAGTGTAAAAAAACACACGGCGAGCGCACGCGGCAGCGCAGCACCAGCAGTGTGTTTTCTGCTCCTCGACTGTCCTAAGCGACTTCTGCGCCTCGACTGCCTCCTTCGCGCATGGAGAATCGCGCCCGGCCAGGGGTCCACGACGCGACGACCCACAACGAACGGGCAAGCAATGGAACCAACCCCTCTATAATTTATCCTTTCATAGAAAAAAATTGTTTTTCTATGATACGTGATCTATGGATCTGCGATCTTGTTATTGTCTGAAGGTAGAAGAAGGCTAGAAGTAGAAGAATCATGGAGGCTGTTGGATCTTAATCTTTTGGTGCAAAAAAATTCATGTGTTGAAATTACATAAAACACATGGTTGTGCAGTAGACAGACTCCAATTTTTCCCTTCCATCCGCGTAACTTTTTCCTAAATTCATTGTTTTATAGACTTTTAATCTTTATTATTTACTAGCAAACATGTTTGTACGGTGCAACATCAGAGAAAAAATCTATCAAATGGTTCATTACAAAATGAGGACTATAGATATGAGACATCTCTATTTATGTTTCCCCCTTTTTTATAAATTTTAAGAGCTATAATTAATTTTAGGATAACTATATGACAACTATAATATAGGCTAATATCGGTAATAATATGACAATATATTAAACTTGTATAAATATAAATAAAACTTTATTAGATTTTTCAACCGTTACAAAGCATAGAAATATTTGCTCGTAATATATTAAACTTTAATTTCTGCTCTCGTCCAGTGTTGAAGCTCCACTGTTCATGAAGCGCATGAATTCGGTCATGTTCGTTTAGCTGAATTTTGGCTGTCGCCACTGGTACTGATTTTCTGTGAGAGAAAAATATTGTCCTATTCACTAAAGAATACTGCTAAAGTAGTGGTGGATAACAGGACAGGAGCGATTAATCACACAGCCTGTTCGGGAGGCCGTATCATATCGTGGATTATTTACTGCTGGCTGATTTGGTGTAAGAGAAAAACACTGTTTCCGACTGGAAATTTACGATCTTTTACGAGCAAGCGAACTGTCAGTGATCGTTGATGCCGGATTTCTTCTTTCTTGTTTGGACTTACTTGCTAACTGTCAGTGCACTCTAGAGTTGCCACGCATTGTAACTAGATACGAATCACACGCTACATCGGACGCTTTGATTTTGTGTACGAACGTAACGCGGTTTACTGATTTTGTTCTGTTGTCGTCTCTCGAACCATCGGTGCAGCCACGCTGGTGGCTACAGTGAACGCGGCTCCCTCGAATACCGCCCTCGAAATGAATGGCGGATGCAGGGACAGTTAATTCTCTCAACCGCCAACAACCTTGTAACCACTGCCATCAGTGCCATGTGTAGGGCTAGCATAATTTCATCAATCGCCAATTCGCCATTTGCGTCCGGCGTCGTGATCCTGTAGCATGCAGTGGTAATCGAAGGTAGGGGTAGGTCCGGTGCCATTTAACACCGCCTGCCGAACGTCCTCTGCCGACCGAAGCAGCAGAGCCAGACGCTGTAAATGGCGATCGAGTGGCTCTCACATGGCCGCTCTGCCTAGCTCCATAAAATCGCCGGCCCGTCCGTCGCGCTGCTGTCCTGAAATCCTGCAACCCTGCCGCGGATGCATGGGGTCGCTGCATGGGCTGCATCCCTGGTCCCTGCATGGGCTGCATCTGCCTACGCTCGCGCGCAGAGATGCAAATGCAGGTACGCGCGTCCCGAGTCGGCCACTGGAAAGCCATCCACCCTGCTGATCGAACTTGCTTGCTGCCTGCGCAGATGGGTTTCGATTGAAGCTGCGTTTGGATACTCAAAGAATTTAAAAGCTAGCTTTTAAAAGTCAGATTATTAAAAGCTGGATTATACAAGCTACGTGGTGTTTGGTTGCCCCTCCTAAATTTTAGTCGCTGTCTCATCGAATGTTTAGACACATGTATAAAGTATTAAATATAAACTAATTACGAAACTAATTGCATAGTTTGCGACTAATTTGTGAGACGAATCTTTTAAGCCTAATTAGTCCATGATTTGACAATGTTGTGCTACAGTAAACATGTGCTAACGACGGATTGATTAGGCTTAAAAATTTCGTCTCGTGGAGTACTGACGGACTATGTAATTTATTTTTTTATTAGTATCTGAACACCCCATGCAACATTCTCTCGATACACCTTCTAAATTTTAGTCACTGGATCCAAACATCACACTAGTTAAGAGACTGGTTTGGATCCATGCATGGTAAAAGCTGAGGTAGATAGATTTGTACAGCAAAATTACAATAATACCCTCAATCCTATACTGGATCTGGATGGGCCAAAAAACAAGGCCAGACTGGTCAAATTGGATCCAAAAGCTGAAAAAACTAGGTTACCTAAGCTTACTGGATTGTGGGATCTGGACGCTCCAAATTATATAAGTTAGCTAGAAGTTAGAATTGTTTGGATCCCTAGCTAGCTTCTAGAAGCCAGCTTCCATGGTTTGCTGGAATCCAAACAGGCCCTGAGTTAGGGTAGTATTCATTTGGCAGGGTATGCTTGTGTCATACCACGACCGTCGCGTCTCGATTACAATCCCAGGCCCATCTCCTGCAGTCCTGGTTCTATTATCCGAACTGATTTCGATACGGTTAATAGTACTCGTAAAATGGATAGTTTGTGCAAGACCGCAAACATGGAACAGCCGTTTCTGCAAGACCGCAAACATGCTCAGAGGATACCTTCCGGTAGCGCACGACCCAGCTTAGGGCTTCCCCCAGCGCCACCACTTGCCCACTAGGTTTCGGAGTCGCCGTTTGCTGCCTCCGTCGCTAATTCTAGCTACTTCGGCTCTGTTTGGCCGTGCTCCGGCTTCGGCTCCACAACATCTTTGGCGGCGCAGCCACACCAAACGTGCCCGGCCGAAGGAACGCTTCTACGCATCGCTAGAGGAGCCGGAGCCCTTTTACGCGTATGGAGGCGGGCACCGATTTGTGGCTCCGCCGCTCCGGCTCTCGCGGGGAGCAGCGCGGACGAAAGCCCGGCCAAACGGCTCCTTCTTCTACAACCAATGCCCTCGTCACTTGGATTGCTCAACCGACCTCTCCCATCATCTCGATGGATGGCGCCCCGCTGCCTTGTTCTGCCGCCATCTCAACTACCACCATCGCAGGCCAGTGGCCTCCCCAGCAATCCCTTGTAATCTTGGAATCCATAGAAGCCCCCCTCTTAACCCGTAAACTCTAATGGGTCTCGTGGGCTCATGGACCACGGAATCACATCCTTCGAGCGAGGCATAATCGGTTTTGTGTTAGTGTGTGCGCTCCCCAAACGGTTGCACAACTACTATCTCCATTCCAAAGAAAAATAACAATCGTAACTTTAGTCTAAGTTAAACCATCTTAGGATATACTTTTGGAAGATGCAATTCTAGAAACACAAGAATATGAAAAACATATAGAAATATAATATCCAAATATCTGAATCCTATGGATTGAATTGCTTTATAAAAGCAGGGTTTTTATCCATAAAAAACGCACGAAACCGTAAGATTGAAAGTTTCATGAAGCGTAGGAAAGCACGAAAATTCGATGAGAGTGTGTAGTACAAAAGAAACTTTCCACAAGTTCAAACTTTTGATAAAATTACTCCAAAATTCATATAAAACAGGCAATTCCATAAAAAAAGCTTCGAATGCAAATTTTCTATAGAATTCCAATTCTTCAAATTTCTTGAGTTTTCCTTTTATTCTAAATGGGTTTTATGTTTGACAAATTTTATTAGAAAACAATATCAATATTTATGATTCCAAATAAATATTCTATGCATATATATCATATCGAATTTAATAAAATTTGTCTTGTATAACAGACAAAAGTTTTTATTTTTATATAAATTAAGCCAAATTTAAGATGATTGGATTTAGCACCCCGCATGGTAGAATTGAATTCTAGAAAGGAGGGAGTACTTGAAAGGAGGTGACATGCTAAAACATGTGGTGACGGCCACATGGAAGGTCTGCCTGAGCTGTCCACTCGCCCACTCGTACGACTGCCACTAGGAAAGCAGCCAACCCAAGGCCAAGTACCAAACCTAAACCGGCCGCGCCCCCCTTTGCCATTGCCACGAACCAGAGCTGTCTGGCTGGCTAGTACTAATCGCCTAGCTAGGCGTAGTCACGTTGTATGGCTACCTGGCTAGGCTAGCTCAGTCGTCCTCGGTCATCGCCTGATCAGGGCAGTAAAAAAAAAAAAACTTTTAAATTAGCTTTAAGTATTTTTTATATTTTAATAGAAAAGAGAAAAGTTAATTCTTGATAAAGAGTTAAGCTCTTACACACTTTAAGGTCATGCGAGTGTGTCCCGTAGGTGTTCACCACAAAAGTAGGAGCATTCTTTAAGCGCCGCTGTCTGCTGCACACTGGAGTATACGTAGCATGTATACATCGATCAATTAAGTGCGAATCGTGGATCGGTCACAGATGATCGACTCCTTCGGTTTAAGGTTCTAGTATTTTCCGCCAAGCAGATAAATGCCAGGACCTATTTGAACTAGCCGAAAATATTATATATGAACCATGCATGAGCAAGACAACGTTGAGAGTGCAGCACTGCTACGAGGAGTGCATTTGCACTTCTGCATTTACTCTAGCGCGCTGTGTTAAAAAATTAAACTCCTACAGCTGATAGTAAGAGCGATGCATATACCAGCGAACCATCTTAACTCCTCCCATGGGCAGTAACAATTCCCTCCACTATATAAACCCCCCTTGGAAAACCCTCGTATCCCCACACCAGAACCCGCGAATCACAGACGCACACACTCACCACTTACTAGCTTTGCTTGCTGCACTACTGCCATCGTACGTGAGACTGAGAGTGAGAGGGGGAGCTAGAGGCATGGCTGCTCCGAAGCTCGCGACGCTGGCGCTGGCCGTGCTGCTGGCGGCGACCGTGGTGGCTCCGCCCGCCGCGGTGCGCGCGGCGATGTCGTGCTCCACGGTGTACAGCACGCTGATGCCGTGCCTGCCGTTCGTCCAGATGGGCGGGGCGATGCCGCCCCAGCCGTGCTGCGGCGGGATCCGCAGCCTGCTGGCGCAGGCCAACAACACCCCCGACCGCCGCACCATCTGCGGCTGCCTCAAGAACGTCGCCAACGGCGCCAACGGCAGCGGCACCTACATCAGCCGCGCCGCCGCGCTGCCCAGCAAGTGCGGCGTCTCCCTGCCCTACAAGATCAGCGCCAACGTCAACTGCAACACGTACGTCGTCTACACGCTAGCTCCGGCCGTCTTCTCTCATCCTACTACTGCTGCAGTTATCTTTGTTGGTAGATTATCGTTGTTCTGTGTTCTGCGTTTCTGGACGCACGACATGTGTGCTGTAACCTTCTTCTTTTTCTTCCTTCTCTTTGCAGGATTAACTGAGGCGTCCTGGCGCGTCCCGTGCGAGGAATGCATGGCGGAGAGTAATAAAATAATGCTACTGGTATTTGAAGCTAGATCGAGTGTGGGCTAGATCGAGATGTGCCTGTCTCTAGTCATTTATGGTGTTTATTAGGAATCGTCTACACAGTTCGTAACGGTGTATCGTGGATGAATTTTGGTGTTGCTAGCAGAGTAGTCATGAACCGATGTGTGCGCTTCTGTGTACTCTCTATGTAATGTGTGGGTACTTTCTGCTTTGATCCAGATGTATTCCCCCGTGGAAGTAGATTGTTGCAGTATCATTACCGTGTGCTTTGTTAACTTGAGATTCTACTGGAAAGGAACATGCACGGGTAAGCTGGACCATGGCATAGTCCAGTATGATTATGAGATTGAAAAAACGGAGAAAACAGTTCAGCAACCAGGAAACTAACTAATCTCAACCGGAGTACATACATATAGAAATATAGAAGTCATAATAATGAACAAATTCACCTCATCTGAGTTACCCCTAGGCCAACCGGTAGTCCGGAAGGTTAGCAGCCTAGTTTGAAGTCATCTTCTTCCCAGAGGACGCGGCCTTCTTCGGCAATGTGATCTCACGAAGGAGCTTCGATTTCCATGCATTGTCAATTGAACCGTGCCACGGGAGGTTTTCGTCAGCCGATCTCAAATTTCAAAGTCACATGTGGATGTCCTCTCCTTTCCGAAATGCTGAGGCGTTGCGTTATTTGCCGCCCGGCCGGATGGCCGCGGTGTGTCCCTCTAAAAAACACGTCGTAGCTGCTTCTTGCTGTGATTATGAAATTTGAGAGTTTTTCATTAAGAAAAACTTGTGACATAGTAAAGTGTCTGTCTTGTACCTAGCCGTTACTACACTGAAGGACTTCAGTGAAAAACTGAAGCTGGGAAACTACAAAGGTGCCCAACGGACTCGGGAGCCCAATACCAAATTTAATGGGCCGGAGTGGGTTAACTAGAATTATGCCCATTTGCTAGTTCGCTATGCTAAAAAAAAGCACGGCCGTTGCTGTCTTCTACATTTCTGCATTCTATATCTATTATATACTTACTATTAAATACCAAAGTGATTATGTATCCTTTTTTGATAGAAGTGTTTCTTTATCTAATATTAAAGAGTGAAGTGATTTTTCATCTGTCTTTTTTTTTTTTACTTTCTAAAGTGCCGTCAGGCTCTACGTCCTGTATGTGATCCGGTTTTACAACCCGATGAAAAGCCCTAATTTTGGTTCTAGCAATTAGTGAAACTAATACTTTCAATGAGTTGTGATTGAGGTAGAGCCCACGTGATGGTGATTAGCAAGGCTAGGAGATGGTGAAGATGGAGATCAAGCCACGTGAAGCAAATGCTCACCCATTATAGAAGGAGATGAAAACAAGTCCAAAGGTAAAGGTACATGTTATGGGTTGCAGGTCGAGATGCAATAGATAGCGTACTATTAAGAAAGTCGGGTTTAAGATACATAGCGTACTATTAAGAGGGGAACTCTAAAGCAAAGACGGATATATGGTGCCACTAGGTTTGAAATAACTTTGCAAATGCATTGGACCTTGTGAGGTGGTGAGAAAGCAAGTCAAAATGATTTGAAAATGTTTTTAAAAGCTAACTCAATTCTTAAAAGAGTTTTGTTCAAGTTGGAACACATGTAGAATTAGCAAATTTGAAAAGCATGTGAGAGACGGGACTTACTGTTTTTTTTCCAGCACTCACAGATTTATCCGGTGCTCCGGCCGGGGGATGACCCGAGTTTAGAGTAGTTCAAAAACCCTGCTGTGCTAACTGTGCACTCACACATGATAAGTAACAGGTGCAAACCGAACCGAGACAGGGTGGACCTATCATGCCACATAGGAGGCCCAAACCGAACGGAGTATCTCGGATCCGACTTCTATTCCTCGTAGCAAACTAGACAACCAAATACTATAATTAGGGCTACTCGATGTAAACCCTATCCTTGACTATATAATTAAAGGATATGGTCCCAATATCATCATCTTGGCCCTTAGCTATCAAACATGGCATCATCAACACCTCTGCAACAAAAACGTCCGGCGCATAGAGAAACCATTCTCCACTAGGCATATATGGTACCTCTCATATCTGAGTATCTGACCAGTATAAATTTGTGTTTCGTGTGGGTACCACTCATTTCCAATGGCAAAACGCTGATCTATTATCGGACGCATACATAGGCAATCGGTGGACGTCGTCTTCTTCCAGCCCGCCCGTAGTTACTAGTGGGCACTGAGTAGGAGTGGCCGACATGGAAGGAAGGATCGGAGGAGATGGCCTCCTCCTACGTCCTGTCCAAGCGTCCATTGTCATCCAGAGACCCGGGGCTTTCTGATCGAGCAGATTGCAGGCTCTTGGTTTGAGGAGAAAATTCCTGACACGATTGTGATTTACGCCGGAAAGCAGACTGTTCGTGCGACGAGACTCGTGAAGTTCGAGATCAGCTGGAAAAATAGCAGAAACAGCCATCGTTCCGCAGCCACAAGCTGCCACCAGCGTGCTGCGCCACAAGTTCATTGAACTGACCTCTGAGGTTATCCTAGTTGGTTAGTTGGATCCGCTATCGCTGCAAGTTGAGGCTATCTCGATTCTGGAACAAATTAAAGGAGGTTGAGGCTACCTCGATCTGCCTCACTCCATTTGTGGAGAGTAGAATATTCCTGAATCCTGAGAGAACACGACCGCTTCAGCTCAGCGTGATCCTTAAACACAGCGTGATTATCGTATTCCCGAACGAATGCAACGGATATGGATCGGTCTACGACCCATCGGCCTCTGTTTTTAACTGCCTCAAATAGCTCACGTTCAGAGTTGTCCGCACCGTACCGTACCACTACATCGGCGACCCAGGAGGATAATAGGAACGACGACGGCCAGCCTGGTGTTAACGGCGATATTCAAGCCGAGCATGGGCCGCGTCGAGGAGGGTGTGACTGTAGGCCCAACATATGAGTCATGGGCCGGAGTGGAAGTGACCGACCACCAGCTGGCGAGAGTGCCGTGTCATTTCAGTATATATAATCGGAGAGAGAGGGGAGGATAACAATTATTATGAACAAACTCTGTAAACTCTCAAGCACTCCTCTGTTCTTCGTCTAAGAACTCTTCCTTCCCTAGAATTCCTGCTTGTTCTTCTGTTGATTACTTGCTATCCTGAATCCCCTACTCCTCTGCTTACATCTGGTATCAGATTCCTTCGATTCCTCCTTCGATTTCTTCGCCATCCTCTATCCTATCTTCGATTCGTTGATAGCTTACAAACGCCTTGGGTCGTACAGATCGAATCGATTCCCCTCGATCCGATTCCCATAATTCCCTGGCACGTGAGCAATCTGTTTCGATTACCGGCGCTGGATCGTCAGCCATCGCCGCCGCCCCCACATCCTCACTACACGCGCTTCGTTCGTAGTCGCGGCGCCATGAACCCGGACTCCAAGCTCTTGTTGGACGAGATGCATCGTCTCTTCAACGAGAAGAAGACCCAGATCAAGGACCGATTCACTGAGGCGGATCGGAAGCTGGACTCGAGCTTCACCAACAACAGCCGCCTCCTGGAGAAGCGGTTCGCTAAGGTCGACGAATCCGTCACCAAGTGCCTCGCCAACGTCGACGACTCGCGCCTGACCGAGGTCGACAACTCCATCACTAAGCGCCTCGCCGACTCCGACCTCTCCTAGGAACGCCGCATCACCGACTCTAAGCTGCGCCAGAACAACCTCATCGCCGAAGCTGAACGGCGTCAGAACGACCGTGTCTCCGGCGTCGTTAAGGTCGCGGGCGCCCTGGAGACCTGGCACTAGGAATCTGAAGGTGATGTGGACGATCTCAAGCTGAAGGTGGACAAACTCACAAAATATTGGGATCGATCATTCCTCGACAACACTACGTCGTCGACAGGGTTGATCTCCCAACCACCTTCGGCGTTGGAGCAGACCGTCGCACGTTCATCTGCGGGTCTCACGGCTGCTCGTCCGAGCGGGCACCACGTCGAAACGACTCCACGGGCGAATGGTATTGGGGAGAACTCTTCCCAATCCCATTCCCTGGCCAATGGTATGCATTCCGAGCCCAAACCTGAGGTTTCGCTGTTTCATAGAGAAGCTTATGATGTTCATAGTCATAACCATCCTCCTGATCCTAACCCACCCAATCTCGGCAAACTACCCAAGCAAAATTTTCCCATCTATGAGGGGGAGACTACTCGTCTGTGGATATCTCATGCTGAGGATTACTTCGACATGTATGAAGTACCTCTCGCATGAACTTTCGTGGAGCAGCTGGTCGCTGGATCGAGTCCATTCCCCAACCAGATCGCCTACCCTGGCCTGATTTCTGCAAAATGCTCCACGATCGCTTTAGCCGTGATCAGCGTGACAAGCTTGTGCGCCAAATGTTCCATATAAGCCAAACATCCACTGTCACTGACTATGCCGATCGCTTTTCCTCCCTCTTTGATTAGCTTAAGGCCTATCAACCCAATCCTGACATGCATTACTTCACCACTCGTTTCATGGATGGGTTATGGGATGGTATCAGGATGGTTGTTACATTGCAGCACCCTTCTACTCTCGATACCGCGTACTCGTTGGCTCTATTGCAGGAGGAAGTGGCGGCTTCGACTCCAAAGACTGACACCACCAGGCTGGGGTTCAGACCACAACACAAACCGACGCTAGCACAGTCGCGGCTGCCTGGTGCTGACAAGGAGATGGGCGACAAGGCTCCTGCCATGGACCAAGATGACAAGCTTTCAACACTTCAGGCCTACCGCCATGCCCGGGGTCTCTGTGAAGTCTGCGCCGAGAAATGGGTGAGAGGACACAAATGTGCTGCTACTGTTTCACTGCAAGCAATGCAAGAAGTTTGGGATTTCTTCAATATTGAGCCAACCTCTGAAGATACTGATGAACCTGATGAGCAGTTACTTCTGGCCCTGTCACATGATGCTCGCATGGGATCCCACGGCCAACGCACTATTCGGTTTCACGGCACTTCTTGCCCTGTCGTGTTGATTGATTCTGGGAGTTCTTCGTCATTTCTGGCTGCTTCCATTGCTG